TTCTATGTAACTTTAACCATTAAGGCTGCACACGTGACGGAAGCTTAAAAAATGGAGTAACTTCTCCCGTTTTCCCAACATTTCCCTTCACTACTCTGCTCCTATTGATTGTAGCGTGATGAAAAGTATACTATAACCTGCCCAGGAGTATGAAGAATAATTGTACCAAGTTTCGTTAAAATCCGTCGAGTAGTTTTTGTTTCTATAAGGAACATACACACAGACAGACAGACACACAAAAATTTTACTGATTGCATTTTTGGCATCAGTATCGATCACTAATCACCCCCTGATAGTTATTTTGAAAATATATTTCATGTACAGAATTGACCTCTCTACAGATTTATTATACACACATCAAAAGTGTCTAGGGATCAAGCATTTTTATGCGGATTTCTTGAGATTGAGATGTGGCTTTGTAATAAATTTATGATTTTATAAATTTATATGGATCCTTTTTGGTGCATTTCATAATTTGAATCAGGAACTGTGAATCAAATTCGAGTAAAAGATGAAAATCAGCTGTCAATATTTTCCCTATAAAAACATACAACGCATTGAAGACATTATTAGTGCTACTGATTCCCTACTACTGATTAAAACCAACGTTATTATGGAGCGGCGACGTCATTTAAGCAGGGAAGAAATGCTCAGAGCCGTGGGAATGATAGAAGCTGGTTCCCGGCAACGTACTGTGGCTTTAGCTCTGAATACAAGTCAGAGTGTTATCAGTCGACTTTGGACACGATACCGAAGCACTGGTACCGTGGCTGAGCGCCATGGAGGACGGTATCGCTGCACCACACGGAGACAAGACCGATACATTCAAATCTTAACTCGAAGAGCTCCAACAATAACCGCCATGATGTTAGCCGTGAGGCTTCATCACTCTTCAGGGAACTTAATTAGCGACCAAACAGTCAGAAACCGCTTGCATGAAGTGAACCTTCATTCCCGAAGACCGCTACGGGTACCACCTATAGCAATGCACAATCGTAGGATTCGATATCAATGGGCTCTTGAACACAGAAATTGGGCAGAAGAACAATGGCGTTTCGTGTGCTTTTCTGATGAGTCTCGTTTTGGTATGAGACCGGATACAAGACGTATACGACACTGGAGAACCCCTGGACGCCAACAGCGATTAAAATCCTGCCAGGAAGTCCATCCTTATAGTGGTGGAACCATCATGGTATGGGCGGGTATTTGGATCGGCGGAAGAACTGAGTTGATTTGGATCAGAGGCAACCTCAACGCTCAAATTTATGCTGAGACGATTGTATCAGACGTCATCGTTCCTCTACAAGTGCAAATCGGTCCCTTATTTCAGTTAATGCATGATAATGCACGACCGCACACCGCAAGAGTTGTAAGACAGACTCTCGCCGCAGCTAACATCAATGTCCTGCCCTGGCCTGCTCAGTCGCCAGACTTGAACCCGATTGAGCATGCATGAGATATGCTACAGAGAAGAGCTCTGCCGAATATGGAGGGTATCCAGTCGCAAGAAGACCTTTTTTTGTTGTTGCAACGAACATGGGCGGCCATTCCACAGCGTGATTTGGATGAACTCATTTTGAGTATGCCAAACCGATGTTCTTGTGTTGTTAGTGTTCGCGGTAGAAATACGGATTATTAATTGTTTAAGTTACCCAATAAAATTTTAGAGAAAACTGTTATTTCAGTCTTTTTTTCGAACTTTTGTGTTAGTGGTTCAAATGTCAAAAATCCCTTTATTAGGAAAATTTCTTTATTAATGCAAAGGTGACTTGGTTTATCGTTACTGTGACAAACGAAAACACTTTATTTGATGAATCCTTAAAGAAAATTTTAATTAATATCAATCAGGAGAAAAGTTATTGCAAAAATATATGTTGATCCCTAGACACTTTTGATGTGTGTAAGTATATAGATAATGTAAATGGACGGATTACTGGATATTGTTTGTTCCATTTACGAAATTGAAATTAGAGTGAAAGAATCCGAAAGTCGGTGCTGCAGTCGGGATTTTTAAACATTTATGTTGTACCGGACATTGTCTATCGGGTTGGTTAATAAACCATAAAAAATACAATAATACATAATTAACATTTTATGTGATCCACTTTTTCTTTGTCTGAACTTACCTAAACTAAAACTATACAATATAGATCAAATATTAATGCAACTACGTTCTGCCTCCGTGGCCTTCATAGACTTCTTTCAAGGATAAAATAGAGTTAGCAACTGATTGATTCCACTTTTAAGGGTTCCGTGCCTCAAAAGGAAAAAAACGGAACCCTTATAGGATCACTTTGTTGTCCGTCCGGCCGTCTGTCTGTCAAGACCGTTTTTTAAGGAACGCGTGGAGGTATCAAAATGAAATTCATATCTATTACTAATGTCTACTGTCCCTTGGAGCAGTAAAAAAATCAAACTTCTAAACCAAAGTGATCAAATTTTCGAAACTCGCATGGGAATCAAAACCTACTTCCCGTGAACTTAGAATCTTGAAATTTGGTACGAAGTAACGTCTTATAGTACAGATAAAGGAAAAATTGCGAAATCCGTAAATTTTTAGTTACATCTTAAAATAAAAATATTTATGCAAATTTTAAAGTTACTAACTCTTTACTCATGAACGCGTAGAGGTATTAAATTTGTACGGAACCCACGGTGCGCGAGTCCGACTCGCACTTGGCCGGTTCTTTTATATTCCACTCTGAGTCTGGCATGTAAACCGCTATATAGTACAACAAGATGGAAATTTTTCATTGTCAAAAGCTAATTTAATATTAAAGAGAAAACGATAACTGTGTTACAGTAAAAACAATGTTACCACTGACGGACTCCTGTACAAAAATGAACATTAGACTTTGTAAAAAATGTAATTTGTTGCCGTGGCGCTGCTACCAACCGGCTGTAAAAGTGAAAACTTTTATGAAACCTACATCCCGGACTCGGAGGGACGCCCGTAACCGTAATAAAGTGAAGAATGGCCGCTTTTACACATAATGAATGCATTACAAGTGTACTTTACCATAACGTGCCCCTAAAGTGTTTGATGATGCGCTGTTTAGGTTTACACAGCAGTGTATACGAAACAATACATATAAAACTGTTTCTGAGAAAACATTTACTTTTAAAGAAGATCATTACTAGAAAAAAAAATTAACATCGCAGATACCTGGCTGGAACCGAATAGACTCTCTGGACTCTCTTTAAAAGACAAGTGGTTATTTAAGAGATTTCATAAGCTGAATGCATGCTGGTTACTACAACAGCAGTCTGGGATGAACAGATGTTATTAGCAAAATATTATTAAATTATGAATAACTTAGATAAAACTCGTTTTACTTTAGTAATTTAATTTATTATAGGCACACCACATCAAAGTTCACAATCCAATGAATGAGTCGCGCTTGCCCGTACGCGGGGAATCCTCCTTCATATCTGTCAGATCATCTTGACAGCTAGTGCTGCCGAAAGTTACGAGCTACATAAACAATGAGGACGTCGCTTATCGATTGAAGTTCGGTTATTTCGTCTAAGGTGATTGATTAGATTTTTAAATCTTAAAATGTCTAACGCAATGTTCAGTTTCAGACACGTTTTACCAGGATAAAATATGTAGGTATAAAGGAAAACAGTAAACTCAAACAAAAACGAGTACAATCAAAATAAAAACAAAGGGGAACTATAGCCACGTGGCAGACAGAAAAACCACGAACGAGGAATTTTTTAATGGACAAACAAGTTGTGTGTGTTGGTACAGTGTTTTGTATTCAGCTCACGTAACGAAGTGAGAGAGGTCCAGATTTTCAGGGAAAAGGACCGACCAACAGAAAAGACTGTTCAAAAGGAAACCACGCCAGTTAGGAAGGTAAACGACGTCGTATAAAACAAGATGTAGGTATATGTATTTATTTTCCATTAAACTGTTTGGTAGAATAGTAGATTGTCCCCAATAGGTACTTTTTACAATGAACTTTGATTGAGCATGAATACGTTCGAAACCTTTATTGTTATGTATAGATTTTATACACCTCAGATTTCTACTCTCATTAATCAAAGTAAATATGTTACACATTATTCATACTTTATTTTAGTCTTATACTGGTAGACCCTGGATATGAATTCGTTTTTCTAATGACAAGCTTTAATTGTTTTTGAAGTGAAGTCCACTGCGAATATTGCAATATTTTCCTATCAGTATTTTAAATCAGCATACTTACAAAACCGTTACAATGAGTACTTTATCGATATTATTATTTTGATTGCTTTTTGTTCGTTGACAACTTGTTTGTGTTTAAGGTTTATTATTATTTTACAATTTAATAATTGAATTAATTAAGTACTAGACTTTAATTTGCATTTGTTGTAATATTATACATACCCATATGTTAAATCAGTTACTCTTGTTGGCGCGTGCATACACCTTGATAAACACACGTTAGTGCTGAGTCCTGTCAGTGGAACCCCATTGGTTGAAAGGAGCAGGTCCCTGGGTGTCAGACGGCCGTTTCACCACGCAGACGGAGAGGGTTCGTTACCTTGTGCCTACATCTTCGTGTAATCACGTAAGTGCTAAGTCCTGCCTGTGGGTCGCCATTAGCTGACAGGAGCAGGTGCCTAGGTGCCAGCAGGCTGCTCTACCACGCAGGCTGGGGGTAGTTAGTTAGTCTGTGTCTACATCCACGTAAACTTACGTAAGTGCTTAGTCCTGCCAGTGAGACCTCGATTGCTGACAGGAGCAAGTTCCTGTGCGCCAGTCGGTGGTAGTTGCTCTATGCCTACAACCTCGTGAACTCACGTAAGTGCTTAGTCCTGCCAGTGAGACCTCGATTGCTGACAGGAGCAGGTTCCTGTGCGCCAGTCGGTGGTAGTTGCTCTATGCCTACAACCTCGTGAACTCACGTAAGTGCTTAGTCCTGCCAGTGAGACCTCGATTGCTGACAGGAGCAGGTTCCTGTGCGCCAGTCGGTGGTAGTTGCTCTATGCCTACAACCTCGTGAACTCACGTAAGTGCTTAGTCCTGCCAGTGGAACCCCGTTGGCTGATAGGAGCAGGTCCCTGGGTGCTAGCCGGCCAGTCCGCCACGCAGGCTGAGGGGGGTACAGTCGTCGTATCCTGACTAGACCACCACCCCCGCACACTGACATGCCGAGACCACGGCCGTCTTTTTCCACTACCACGGTGAATGTGTTTTCTGAGGGCAAACAAATTGGATCGTAAGATGCAGCACATAAATTTTTCGTCATTTAGTGAATATAGAAATCATTGCGGTGAAATAAATTTATTACTAATAATAATTTTGACAACTCACTACAATGATTAAGGCCCACTTGCATCAAAGTTCTTAATTCAAATTAAGGTTTAATTATGTTTATTATGTCATTGTTTATTCAATTGTGTACAGTCAAAAATAGATAGACTGAAACTTAAACATGATAAGCTCTTCCAATTAAATTAAAAACTTTGGGGTAAGTGGGCCTCAGGCCCGCTTCACAGTCGCCGTACCAGTGCGGCCTCGGCCTTGGTCCCAAAATTATGAGCTAGACAATTAATTATCAGCAATAAAGTCCGAGCATTGTCACAGCGACAGTAAAAAAAATTTCTCAGCTTATTTACACATACTTTACGTACATGTTTAAATGACATTACGTCGAAATCTGTTTTATTGCTCACGTTGTGTGATTAACTAAAAAGTTATTAGATCGAGAAGTCGTTACTTTACTACATAAGAATTGAACAAAACCAGAAGTATTGGGAAGTTTAGGGAGCAAGTGCTCACCACAAAGATGCGTTTAGATCAGCAAAAAAAAGATATTAATTTTAAAACTAGTGGCCCGCCCTCACTTCGTTTTGGTGTAGAGCTGTAGTGACTATATACTTTGTTCTCAGGCTTGTATTATACACAATGAATTTCTTTATATAATTATTAAGCTTCCATGAAAATTTAATGTACTAATAAAAAAATTGTTGCGTAGTTAAGGACCCGTTGTACGGAATGCACCATTATTTTGGTTGAACGCGCAAATCTCAGGAACAAGTGGTCCGATTTGAAAAAATATATTTGTGTTAGATAGTGCATTTATTGAGAAAGGCTTAAGGCTATATTATATTACGTTGTGACCAGGAGGAGCGGAGTATCGATGTAAATTGTTGCAAAAACGGGTAAAAATATTCCGTTTGGGAGATTCCGCTCCGTAAATTATTAAATTTACACAAAAATCATCTATGACGGAGCTGTTCCCCTTTAAAAGTTATATAAAAAAGTCCGCGATGGTATATGCCCATTTTTTAAGTTTGACTCATTATCACCTTCTTCCTCAAATTAACGCGGGTGAAACCGCAGGGGGACCTTTAGTTCTAACATTACTGTAATAGTTAGAGACATATGATATTGCTGACTTTTTTGTAGATATTTATGTCCTCTATAAAACTTTAGTATATCATCTTGTTCTATTGTCAATGACTTCCGCAGCGTAAGCGATATAAGGTTATTTTTGGCATTTTTTCACACCCTGGGTTACAACATTATCGAATTATTCATACGGAACCCTAACTTTTTGAAAAAACTCTATAGCCTATGTTCATCAGGGAAAATATAGGATTCTAAATGTGTAAGAATTTTTCAAATCTGTCCAGTAGTTTCGGAGCCTATTCAATACAAACAAACAAACAAACAAAAAAATCTTGCCTCTTTATAATATTAGTATAGACAAAGCGATACATTCTTGTATTGTGTTAGTAAAAGGTACAACTTTGATCGAATGAATGAACTTTTCATGAAATATGGATTCAAAATTTAATTTATCTAGGTTATTATTGTTTTCGTCAGTTACTAAAGTTTAGTGATACTGAATAACATTTACTTAGAGAAAAATGAGAAAAATTAGCGTATTTACAAATTTTTCAATAATTTGTAATTTTTAAGCCTTGAATTTCACTTACTAAAATTAAGACGTAAACAAAATGATATAAACGCAATTCATCATTGTAAATATTTATATTATAAAATTTATTTTCATCACATCCAACGATGGATGATTTGTAGTAATACCAACCACATTTTGTTACTGTTATATATTTTAATTGAAATACAGGATTTCAATATTGTAAATTGAAAGCAGACAAGAGTCGATTCACGGTAAATTTAAGACACTTTTTGGCTGCTAACGGCCGCGGAGGGCGCTATCCATGAATTATACATTAGTCAGAACTCCATAGCAACTCTCGGGGGAGATCGTCTATCATCCGGCTCTAGCCTCGATTTGCAATTATTTAAGGGAACACAAGTGCGAAAGAGCATGGATATTACACACTCAAGGAAGTGATATAAAATCACTTTATTGGATTTACTCACAGACCAGATTACAATAGACGTCGCATGTAATTCTTCAAATTGCTTGGAAATAGATTTTGAGCACTCACGAAAACAATTAAGTGGTGAAAAAGCATGGGCCCTGATTTTTATAGCTTAATACGACATACATTATATATTTTATTAACATTACGAGTTAGTATAAAATGTCCATTTATTGTTTTACCAACAACATACCGGGTACTGGAATCCCGAAATAAAACAAAGATTAGATATTTTGGTATGCGAAGTACATACACTTGCGTTATCTATTTCGATCTATTTTTGTGAATTTCCTAGTCACTTCGCTGCTTATTTTTACTAGGTTTTTAATAAGACGACTAAGGAATTTGACTTTAGTGTAAAATGTCCATTTATTGATTTACCACCTACATCATTTTCAGTAATAAAACGTTCAAATTAGGGAAGGCCATACCTGATGGGTACTGGAATCCCGAAACACCAGGATCCCGCGTATATGTTTCGGGACTAATGTGGCGCTCAGTTTACAAAAGAAATCATTGCTTTTTTTTCATCATTTGTTTCGGTCGTGCTCGGCCAGTCTTAAAGTTATAAGTATTGATAATAAGATTGTTATAAAGACGTATAACCTTTGACCATGATTTTGGACGAACTTAATAATTTTTCAAAAATACTTTATTTAATTTGTGCCTCAAAAGATCATGAAAAAGAGAACTATTACTATTTTCAGTTTTTATTGCAAATGAATTCAAAAGTTTAAATCCACTCTGCTGGATCCCGCCAATACCTGGATTCAGCGGGATTAAGATGGTTCAATCCCGGAATTGCCTGGATTGATATTATCTTGCGGGATTGCATTCACTAGATCCAATGTTCACAGTAGAAATATTGGTAATTTCTCCGATTGGAGCGATAACAAAAGGCAATATGCCAACGTATCAAGAGGCGATTAGCAATATAACAATGGGAGCAGCAGGCGCCGGCCGCAAATAGCCTTTGTCTACGGTACTTGTACGCCTACTTCAAACTAAAGTGAAGTTTAATTGCCGATATATTGCCTTTTTTGGTACACAATTCTTTATGAACATCGGATGCGCACATAACAATGTAAGTGGAACGAGCATTCCTAACATTTCAGTTGAGAGTATGCGATTTTGCGGATGCTCGCTTGGTCAAACTTTTAGTTATTGTGTTTGTGTTCGAAGGTTGTCAATAACAACCTTTTACACTAGTTAAATGTATATGTCGTAGGATGATTTGATAAATCGAATTTTTGCGATAATCCTAGGGATTTTGCGAAACCGCGGATAATTAGACGATAGCGATGACATCTATCAATCTTACTATAAATAGATGGTATTCTTGCGAAAAGGCGAGTATACTCAGTAAGCCCGCGAAGCGCCAGAAAAAAATTTCGTTAACAGTAACATTTAGTCATCAATGTCATCGCCGTTGTCTAATTATATTCGTGCTTTCACAAAATCCCCAGGATTTTCGAAAAAAGACGATTTATCAAATCTTACTGCCACATATACAAGCATTTTAATATAATGTAATCCCTAGTACACTTACTAATATTAATTTGTTTTGTTATAAATAACACTAGCATTTTTATATATTTTACATGATTTAAGCCTTTTTTTCATATAATAGGGGGCATACGAGCTGTCGGCTTACCTGCAACACCAGGAGTATCACAAATGCGATACCGGACTTTAAAGAAGCAGTACGCTCTTTTATACGTTTTTTTTGTGCGAAATTGTGTCTTGTATTGGATTTAACTATTGCAGATCATGATTTATTGGTTTGTGCCATGGTAGGTTTAATATTGTAATTTTAATAGATTTGTATTATATGTGTTTACCTACAAACCTACCTTCTATTGTGAGAATAATAATCAAATGTTTTATTTTAGTCCTTATTTTCAATTTTTGGAATAATATAGTATTATTTTGTTAAAATAGCTATTGATAAAAATGCACTCAGAAATGCTTTTTTGTTTTCAAATTACCTTAAATGGATTGTGCATTGTGATTATTTTTATCTTATTTTAATTTCCTTTTCAGTAATAATACAGTTTGTTTTATTTATACATTAATAGGGGGACACTGTATTCATATTAAACGGGAATGGGCGTTAATTCTGCAACACAGTTTTTGTTAAAATATACCAGAATTAACGTTTCATAATTTTATGTACATTGCACTTGTTCCAAATAAAGTTATTATTATTATTTTTTATTTTTTCTGAATAAAAAATTGCAGTAAATTTTTAACTTGTCAGTCTTCAGGTTTATACTCCAAAATGATTAAAGTTAAACGTAGTTGGCGGAAAACCACACATTATTCAAAAAAAGTGGTTAATGTTTTCCGATACAATCAACTTCTTCTGTATAAAACCATTGTACATAAACTCTTAATCTCTATTGTACTTAGCAAAAAATTGTTAAATTAAGAAATAATAAAAACACAGGACAAAAGACAGACACAAGTGCCAGAAAAGACATCCATTTAAAAACCTATATTCCATGTCAATAGTTTTCTTCGATCACATGACCCAGATCGTCGGTGGGTGGGCAATATTGAATTTCTTCGCAATCTAATCAAACAACCCTATCTATCCCAAACTTGTTTGGACAACCAGTTTGACGCCTGTGATTTATGCTTTGATTGTTTTTGTTCGTTGTTGTAATGAAATCCCTAACTGACACCGCTAACGTTTGTGCGTTAGCACTAATCAGAACTAATTATATGATAGTGGTTTCAATATGCGAGTTTTAAGTATTTCTGTGGTTGTGTTGTGCTTTAGTTTATTCTTAGAATTTTGCTTCTACTTTTTTACCCTGAATATATATATTTTTC